AGGGAGGGAGGGAGGGAGGGAGGGAAGGAAAGGAAAGGAAGACAGACACAGAAAGGAAAGGAAAGGAAAGGAAAGGAAAGGAAAGGAAAGGAAAGGAAAGGAAAGGGGAAAGGAGGAAAGAAAGAAAGAAAGGAAGGGAAGGAAAGGAAAGGAAGACAGACAGACACAGACTGGCTAAGTTGTTGCCAGGTGAAATTACTTGAACATTGTTATGACAACCTTGTACTTTCTTTATAGATTTTTCCCCCTTACTTTGTTTTCCTCTTTAGAATTATTTATTTACATTGAAGAGATGGTTTTTTTAAGTGATCATCAGGCAGAGTAACTGGTATGATTTTGAACTTTCCTTTGATCCTAAGGATTTGTACTATAAAACATTATTAAATATTCTGTCTCCCCTCAACTAAAATCACATAATTAATTTCTTTAGCATTAAATATAGATCTAGAAAGTGTTAAGTAGAAATGCCTTTTTCTATATTCAAATTCATAAAGCTATTAATATTCCATATTTTATTAAAGTTTTATATGCATGATATTCTTTGTGCAAATGACATGGAACATCAGAGATATTCTACAAGTTAGTTTTGAGAACTGGTATATAAAAAGTAGAGACAGTGGAATTCTATGTTTCCTATAGAAATGATCTTGAAAAATGTCATTATGACCTAATCGAGTCATAGAATATATGTTTCATATGTTTTGTATAATCGGGGTCCTTTGCAGGAGAAATACAACGTTGGTTATAAGGCCCAATCGGAAGCAAAAGAGCATCAGCCAAAAGGAAATCAAGACAACTTAGAGAGATCTCATGGTCAATCCAAGAGATCTCGTAGTAAATCCGAGAGATCTCATGACCACTCAAAGAGATCTCATGGCAGTTCAGAAAGATCTCATGCCCACTCAGAGAGATATCATGGCCGTTCAGAGAGATCTCATGCCCACTCAGAGAGATATCATGGCCACTCAGGGAGATCTCATGGTCGCTCAGGGAGATCTCATCATCACTCGAGGAGATCTCCTGATCAATCAGAGAGATCTTATCGCAAGTCAGAGAGATATCGAAGACACTTTCCAGGAGGAGGATTCAAAACATCATTCGAAAGTGATTCTCAATTTGACGGGTAAAAACACAATAAATACTTAATCATTATTACAATGTGTTGAGTAATGTGGAAAGGTAAAGGCATGCTTTAAATTTCATGAAAAATGAATTTTTCCATTTTTTGTTGTGGTTTAAAACATATAATATTTACCATCTTAATCAAATTTTTTTGCTACTGGGATTTGAACCCAGGCATGCACACTAAGCACACGCTTCTGCCACTAAGCTATGCCCCCTGTCTCATCTTAACCATAATTAAGGTTATGGTTTAGTGGTATTAATTACATTCATATAATTGTACCACAGATCATTAGAACTTTTTCATCTTTTAAATCTATAACTCTAAACCCATAAAACTCCTCTTTTTCACTCTGCCCTCAATCCTTGGTAACTACCATTCTACTATGAATTAGACTACTTTATAAGGAACTTTAGATACCTTCAATAAGTAGAATAATGTAGCTTTTGCCTCTTGTGACTGCTTTATTTAACTTGGCATAATATCTTTGAAGTTCATCCATGTGGTAGCGTGTGTCAGAATGCTAAATCATGCTCCATTATGTGCCACATTTTGTTTTCTCCTTCATCCAGCTATAGGTATTTGGGTTACTTCTACCCTGTGAGTATTATGAATTGTGCTTCTGTGAACAGAGGTGTGCAAATCTCTTTGAGGTCCTGCTTTTGGTTCTTTTTCAAATACACTCAGAAATGAGAATGCTGGTTCCTATGGTTGTTCAGGTTTGAATTTTTTAACAAGCTTCCATATTGCTTTTCACCATTTTACAGTCTTGAGTGTTTCCGAGTTCTCCACATCCTTGCCAACATTGGTTATTTTCTATATTTCTGAGATAAGCCAACCTCATGGGTGTAAAGTGATATCTCATTGTGGTTCTGATCTGCATTTCTCTGATTACTAATGATGCTGAGTATCTTTTCATATACTTGTTGGCCATTTATATGTTGTCTTTGAAGAAATATCCATTTAAGTCTTTTGCCCATTTTAATTGGGTTGAGTCTATGTTGTTGTAGGAGTTCTTGTATTTTCTAGATCCCTTATCAGATATGATTTAGAAATATTTTCACCCATTATGTAGATTATTTTCACTTTGTTGGTTGTGCCCTTTGGTACACAGAGGTTTTAAAATGGTGATATAGGGCTGAGGATGCAGCTCAGTGGTGAAGCGCTTGTTCAATATGCATGAGACCTTGGTTTCAATCCCCAAGAGCCCAGATAAATTAATTAATTAAATTGTGATATAATCCCATTTGTGTAATTTTGGTTTTATTGTTTGTGCTACTGGTGTCCCTTCCATGAAATCACTGCCAATTCTAACTTCATGAAGTTTTTCCTTTATGTTTTCTTTTAGAGGAGTAGTTTTCTTTTGTTTTTCTGGTACTGGAGATCAAACACAGTGCCTCATGCATGCTAGGCAAGCACTCTATCATTCAGCTACATCAACAGCACTCTTCTAGGAATTTTATAGTTTTAGGTCATATAGGTAAGTTTTGAATTCATTTTGAATTAACTTTTGTATATGGTGTAAGACAAAAAGACATTCCTTTGCTTGTGATCCAGGTTTTCCAACACTATTTGCTGAAGAGACAGTCCTTTCTCAGTTGTGTGGTCTTGACACCCTTGTTGAATATGGCATGACTATATACATTAGGATTTATCTCTGAGCTTTCTATTATAATACAGTGGTCTGTTTTTCTATCTTTATGTCAGTATGATGCAATTTTGATCACTGCAACTATGCAATATGTCTTGATGTGAGATAGCATAATCCCTCTAAATTGGTTTTTCTTTTTGAGTTTTGTTTTGGCTATCTGGGGTCCTTTGAGATTCCATATGAATTTTAGGATGACTTTTTTTTTCTGTAAAAAATGCCATCAGGATTTCAATAGGATTTACATTGAATTTGTAGATCACTTAGGGTAGTATGGACATTTTCACTGTATTGTCTTCCAGTCCAAGAACACTGGACTCCTATCCATTCATTTATGTTTTTTAAAATTTGTTTGAGTGATATTTTTAATGTGCAAATATTTTATCTTATCTCTTTGGTTAGGTCTATTCCTAAGTATTTAGTTCTTTTTGATGTTATTATAAATGAAATCATTTTCTTAATTTCTGCTTTGAAATTACCAATTGGTAGTATACAAAGCTGCAACTGGTTTTTGCATATTGTTTTTATCCTGAAATTTGGCTACTTTTATTTATTAGTTCAAAAAGCTTTTGTGGGGTTGGGAATGTACCTTAGAGAGGTAGGATGTATGCTTTTCATGCATGAGGCCCCTGGATCCAATCTCTAGCACTGCAAAAAGTATAAAAAACAGGTGTGTGTGTGTGTATGTGTGTGTCAGTGTAAAACCTTTAAGGTTTTCTACATATGAGATCATGTCATGTGTAAGCAAATAATTTTACTTCTTTCAATTTGGATGCTTTTTTGGAGGCAGAGTTTAGCTATATAGTTCAGACTGGCCTTGAACTCACTATGTAGCCAAGTCTGGCCTTGAACTTGTGATGATCCTTCTGCCTCAGCCTCCTGAGTGCTGGGATTACAGGCAAGTACCATCACACCTGGCTAATTTAGATGATTTTCACTTATTTTTCTTGCCTAATCAATCTGTATAGGGCCTTTAGTACTATGTTGAGAAGAAGTGGTAAAAGCAAGGATCCTTTCTCTTTTTTCTGGTTTTAGAGGAAAACATTTCAGTCTTTTATAATTAAATATGATGTTGGCTAACAATTTTCATAAATAACCTCTACTATGTTGAGATAGTTTCCTTCTATTCCTTGTTTGCTGATTATTTTTTTCATAAAGGGATGACAAATCTTATCAAATGCTTTTTCTGAACTATTGCAAAATGATCATATTCATTTTTCCTTTACTTTGTTAAAGTGGCATATTTTTTTCACGGATTTTTCTTTTTTCTTTTCTTTTTTTTTTTTTTTTTTGGTACTGGGGATCAAACTTGGGTCCTTGCGCTTGTGAGGTAGGCCACCGAACCACTGAGCTAAATCCCCAGCTTTCATGGATTTTTGTATATTGAACCATCCTTGCATCCCATGAGTTAATCCCACTCGGTCAAGTTGTATAATCTGTTCATTGCATTGTGTAATTTGGTTCGCTAGTATTTTGTTGAGGATTTTCATGTCAACACTCATTCAGGATTGTGCTCTGTGGTTTTCCTGTAGTATCTTGTTTAGCTTTAATGTCACAGTGCTGGCCTCATTCATTGAGCTTTGAAGTATTCCTTTCTCTTCCTCTTCCATTTTGTGTAAGAATTTTGAGAGGATTAATGTTAATTCTTCTTTAATTGTTTAGTAGAGGGGAGAGGGTTGTAGCTCAGTGGTAGAGTGCTTGCCTGGCATGTACAAGGCACTGGATTTGACCCCCAGTACCGAAGAGAAAAGTTGAATAGAATTGTCCAGTGACATCTTCTTCCATTGCATTTATTTGGATGGTTTTGATTACTGACTCATTCTCCTTGCTCATTATTGATATTTTTGGAATTTCTATTTCTTCATTAATAGAAATCTCAGTAGATTATGTGATTCTAGAAGTTTATTTATATCTTACTAAGCTGTCCAATTTTTTAACATAAGATTATCCACAATATTTTTTACAGACCTTTTTATTTCTGTGACAACAGTTGTAATTATCCTCTTTCATTTCTACTTTCAGTTATTTGAGTCTTCTCTCTTAATCTAGTCAGTGATTTGTCAATGTTGTTGAACTTTTCAGAAACTAATCATTATTGTTATTTTTTTACTTCATTTATCTCTGCTCTGATCTTTACTATTTCTTTCCATCTGCTATGTTTGAGTTTAGTTTGTCTTCTTTCTCGTCTCTTGAGATACAAATGTTAAATTTTTCATTTAAGATCTTTTTTTAATACAGTATATGCATCAGAGCTATAAACTTCCCTATTAGCACTAATTAGGCTGCATTTCATAAGTTTTCATACATTATGTTCTCATTTCTGTTTCATTTTCAAGGTCTTTTCTGATTTCCCTCTGACTTTTTTGTCCTATTGATTGTTTCAGCGTGGGCTGTTTAATTTTTACATATATTTAGGTATATTACAATTTTCCTTGTGTTGTTGAGATAAGAAAAGTTACTTTGAAGCAGAGGGCAAAGTTTAGTGGTAGAGTATTTGCCTAGCATGTGTGAGGCCTTGGGTTCAGTCTTCAGTACTGATTTTTAAAAAGGAGCAGGAGAAATAAGAGAGGGACAGGGAGAGGGGATGAGAAGAAAGCTGGGCATGGAGACACACTCCTGTAATGCTAGCAGTCTGGAGTATTGTAGGTTTGAGCCTAGCCTAGGCAATACAGCAACTTAGCAAGATCCTATGTCAAAAAAAACCCCCAAAAAACAAAAACAAAAAAACGGCTGAGGATGTAGGTTCATTGTGAAGGCCCTGAGTGTAATCACCATTACTAAAAAGAAGAAAGAAAGAAAAAGAAAAGTCCTTTGTATGGTTTCAGTCATCTTGGATTCTTAAGACTTACTTTGTGGCCTAACATATGGTCTATTCCAGAGACTGTCCATGCACTCTTGAGAAGATTTTCACCTATTCTTGAGTGGAGTGTTCTTCATATGTCTTTTAGGTACAATTAGACTATACCATTCTTGAAGTTCTCTATTTCTTTTTTGTTTGTTTGTTTGTTTGTTTTTGTTTTGTTTTGCTTTTTGAGACAGCATTTCACTATGTAGTTGAGACTGACCTGGAACTCACTAGGTAACCCAGGCTGGTCTCGAACTCACAGCAATCCTCCTGCCTCAGGCTCCCGAGTGCTGGGATTACAGGCATGCACCACCACATCCGGCTTCTATTTCTTTATTGCTCATCTGTCTGGTTGTCCCACCCAAAATTAAAAGTATAACATGCAAGTCTACTAGTATTATTGTCTTCCTGTCAGTCTGTTCCTCCTTTCAGTTTTGTCCAGATTTGCTTCATGGAGATTTGGTGCATAGATATTTATAATTGCTTTATTTTATAAGTTCTTTCTTT